TCCAGCCACTCAATACACGTAACTGACATTGATGTATACATTTACCGTTCAAAAGCGAGCTCACAGCTGTCTGTCCCATAGAAGAACATGACAGCAGAGGCTGTGTTTGGAACTATTGAGGCTTACATGAACCACATGACCGCTCTGGCGGCAACATCAAAGGCTGTCGCCACTCTGTTCTTATCTATCGCTCTGCACGCACTCTTTCTATGAGCTCACTGAAAAAAATGATTTTGTGGTGTAGTATTAGGTTAACTGTCACATTTTTATTTTCTAATTGTAAGTATCAGTGAGAACTGGAATTATTCAAGTAAAACTATATATGTCATTCATGTAATAAACTGTGTGGGAAGAGTAAGTTTTATTATGTATTTTCACATAATATTCAAAGGTTTCATAGTCATTCGCATGAACTTAGAAATACCAAGTAAGTTTTAATAGTGTTGTGCGTGTTTTGAATCCGCGCATGCGCATTGTGACGTGCACTTTCGTTGTCCGCCAAAATACACAGTGAAGGTGAAGAAGAAGAAGAAGAGGACGACGGTGGTAAAATTAAATGGAGGCAGGAGCCATAGATATATATACGTAGATGCCGCATTCAACGGTGCTCCTCATTGGAGCGATACGTCAAGGCGGCCGCCATCTTGCCCAGGTGGAGCCGCGCTGCCTAATGCATGTATGTCTATTGAGACAGGAGATTATTTATGATTAAAATCATCATTACTTGCTTAATTCTCAACCGATTTGGTTTGGTTTGGTTTGTTACAATTGTCAGACATGTAGTTATGATACAGGATACTTGGTTAAATAAAAAATGCAGTTGTTCATACCAAAATATTTGATCTTATGTAGATAAAGTAACAGTAATAGTTCTACAACACATTTAAACTGAACTTTCCCCATGTAATAAATATTCTTTTTTCTTACTAGATGTACAATGCCCACCATGATGTCATTTAATTATTAATTTTGACTATAAATGTTTATTCACATTTCACACAATGTGCAAAAAATAGTGTATCAGCAGGGTTGTGCCGAGCTGCAGTGCAGATTCTGATTGACAAATGTTGGTTTTTGTACAAGTGAAAATAAATGCCTAAAGCTGCATGTTTACACAAAATTTTGCTTTAATCTCATATGTGTAACACCACAGTGCTCATGGGAGCCTGGACACAGAACTGTTTACATTATTAGGTCATATTTACAAAAAATACAGTGTACAGTAGCTAGTATTATTTTTAGGAGTCTGCCCAGTCCTGTCGAAGTCCTCAGGTCTGAAGTGACAGCTGCAGATGACTGAGGAGTCACTCGGGACAAAGTCCTTTCTCCTCACTGCTGCTACCCATGCCCGTCTCCT